GAAGTAGCCCTGCCAGTCCGGGGCCTTCTTGTCGTTCACAAAGTTGATGAGCAACCTGCGAAGGCGCAAGGACAGACCCCAGAATGATGCGCATGTGTGGGGAAAAAGTCCTTTGGCTTCAGCATTTTGATTTACCCCCAAGCCGGGCGAGGAGAGCATTAGTACTTCAATTTTTTTAATATATATTTTATTGATTTTTACAGAGAGGAAGGGAGAGGGATAGAGAGCTAGAAACATCGATGAGAGAGAAACATCCATCAGCTGCCTCCTGCATGCCCCCCACTGGGGATGTGCCCGCAACCAAGGCACATGCCCTTGACCGGAATCGAACCTGGGACCTTTCAGTCCGCAGGCTGACGCTCCATCCACTGAGCCAAACCGGTTAGGGCAGTACTTCAATTTTATAGGTTGAAAACCAAATCCCCGGTGGTGATCTGACTGGACAGCAGCTCAGGTATGACAGGGTGCCTCAGGCTTCCCGCACTGACTGCTCCAGCTCATCACATGAGAGTCACCCACAGGTGACCAAATAGAGAGCATAAGGGGACAGAGCAGGGAGGGCTAGAGAACAAACGTGTGGCCCGAGAGAGAGAGAAACAGACGAGAGAGAGAGAGAGAGAGAGAGAGAGAGAGAGAGAGAGAGAAAGAGAGGTAAACACAGAGCAGAGAGAGGTGACCTCCTTTCTGACTTTCTGGTTTGAGTTGCACTTTTCATGGGATCTGGTGCTCTTCGCTGCCTAAGACAGTCCTCTCTCTTCCCCCATTTTGGCTTCAGGGGAACCTAGTAAGTAGTTGCTGTTACTTGCAATCAAAGTGGTCTTAAGGAAGATGCTATTAAAGACAAGCGCCAAGCAAAGCAGGCAGACGGGGACTGTAAAAACCCCCTGGAGCATGCCCCTGGCCCTAAGGTGCCCCCTGACCATAAGGGAGCGTTAGAAGGATGCGAAGAGTCGCCCAGCTGGGAAGGAAGGGGTCTTACTTCAAGATCTCCGGGCCGGTAAACATCATAAGGTCGTGCAGGAGCTTGTAGACGAAGCTCATGAGGAAGTAGGGCCCGAAGGTCTTGTACAGCACCTTGAACAGGGACGGCTCCCGCACCTTCTGGGGGCCCCTGACAAGCAGAGCCTCGGCCTCCTCGTTCACATCCACCTTGGAGCCCCCTTTGGGCTTGGCGGGATCCTTGGAGGAGTACACGATCTTCACCGGCTGCCTGGAACACAAGGAGTGTGGAGCCATGTGGGGTCTGCCAGAGGCTGTGCCCACCGGCGCCAGGGCAGCCAGAGAGCCCCACCCTTTGGGAGGCTCGGCCAGAGAACCCCAGTCATCGCAAAGGCAGCTTATTAGCACGGTGGCTGTGAACATGGACTCAGGATCCTGGCTCGGCCACTGGCCGGCTGTGTGGCTGAGGCAATTCCTTAGTTTCCTTGTCTGTAAAATGCAGATTAAAGGAGGACCTATCTCCTAGGGCTGCTGTGAAAATGAAATGAGTTAATATGCGTGAAGGGCACAGCGAAGTGCCAGCCCCAGATTCAGTGCAATCGCTATCAGAATCCCAGCCGGCGTCCCAGAAACTGACAAGCCAATACTAACATGTATATGGAATCTCAAGGGACCAAGAATAGCCAAAACAATCTTGAAAAAGTCAGAGGATTCATACTTCCTGATTTCAAATCTTACTATAGAAGAACCCTAATTAAGGCAGACCTAAGGAAAATCATACATACTTCAGGTTTAGCAATGGATTCTTAGATATAACACCAAAAGCACAAGCAACAAAAGAAAAAATAAACGGAACTTCATCAAAATAAAACATAGTACTTCAAAAGACACCATCAAGAAACGGAATCCTCACACAGTCCTTGAGAAGTAGATTTCATTAGGGAGGGGGGAAGTGAAAAGACAACCCATGGAATGGGAGAAAATATTTGCAAATCAAAAATCTGACAAAGGCCCTGGCCAGTTTTGCGCAGTGATTAGAATATAGGCATGTGCGGACCGAAGGGTCACAGATTCGATTCTGGTCAAGGACACGTACCTTGGTTGCAGGTTTCCCAGACCCAGTAGGGGTGTGTGTGGAAGGCAACCAATCCATGTGTCTCTTTCATGTTGATGTTTCTCTCTCTTCCCCCTTCCTTCCTCCCTTCCACTCAATCTGAAAATCAATGGGAAAAATATCCTCAGGTGAGGATTTTTTTAAAAGTATGATAAAGGACTTGTAACTACAGCACATAACGAATTCTTCCAACTCACTAAGAAAAAGACAACCCAATTTTTTAAAAAGGGGGCAAAGAGCATATGCAAATTGCCAGTGAGCATACGGAATGTTGCTTAACATCATTGGTCATCAGGGAAATGCAACCCCAAACCACTGTGAGGTATTACTTCACAGCCGGGAGAATGGCTATCATGAGACAGTCAGATAAAACAGTGTTTGCAAGGATGTGCAAAAATCGGAACCTTCATACATGCCCCCGTGGAGTCCTCTCTCATTTGGAAGAGGACACTGCAGAAATGGTGGAGCATCATGTGCAAGATTAGGCCCCAGGACACGCTGTGGCTTTCACCTTGTCATCTCTTAGGTCATTCACTCTGGGCAAAGCCAACTGCCATGTTGTGAGGGCACTCAATGAGCCCTCTGGAAAGGCCCCCATGGTGAGACCTCGCCAGCACTAACCTGCCAACCATGGGCAACCTGGAGCAGGTCCTGTGGCCCTAGCTGAGCCTGCAGAGGACTGCGGCCCTGGTTGCTGACTGCAACCTCATGAGAGACCCTGAGCCAGAACCACCCAGCTAGGCCACTCCTGGACCCCTGACTCAGATAGTGAATGGACATTGCTCTTTTCAGCTGCTGGGTTTGGGGGTAATTTGCTATGCAGCAGCAGATATACCCCGCAGCTCCCATCCCCCAAAATGCAGTGAAAACAACATCCTCAAATGGCTAAGCCTGGACTCCAAGCTTCATCCCCACCCAACCCTAACACTTACAACTTACAAACTTTTTCCACAGCATGAGTTCACTGAATAGCATTTGATTTCAGGGGATTCTTTTTTTTTTCTGAATTGATCCTTTTCCCCCCAGAACATTTTGTTTGCTTTTGCTGCTATATTTTATTTTTTTAGTCTTTATTGTTGAAAGTATTAAGTATGTCCTTTTTTCCCCTCCCATTGACCCCTTCTAGTCCGACCCTGCCTCCTGCCCCAGGCCTTCACCACCCTATTGTCGGTGCCCATGGGTTATGCATATATGCATACAAGTTCTTTGGTTGATCTCTTCATTTCAGGGGACTCTTGCTTGTCACTTCTATGCCACATCTGCCCATCTGGACCATGGAGACCACAGCCTTCCCACCTGCCTTGGCTGTGTCCCACTCCGAACTCTGGGCCCTAGTCTAGGCTCTGTCAAGACCTGGTCTTTCTCCTCTGTGCTCCCTGCCCCAGGAAAGGACCCGAAACATGGGACTCATCCCGGACCCCACCGCCCTCAGTCTCCTCGATCTGAGCAGGCCTGTGTCCTGTCCATTCCACATCTGGGATGTATGTAGTCATCTGTCCCCTCTTTCCATCTCCACAGCCTCCACCCGAGCAAGTGACCACTGCCAGGGCCGCCTCGCCACTCCCCATTTCCTCCCATTCTTGTTCCCTGACAACCAACTCCCTGTACAGTAGCCAGTGGGACCATCCTAAAAACTCATCATTCTCCTCCTCCAACCCCACCGATGACTTCCCGCTGCACCCAGAGTAAGTGAACTCTGTGTGAAGCTGCACAACTTCCTGTGGCTGCTGTAACAAGCTACCACCCACACGGTGGCTTACACAGCACAGATTTATCATCTCATACTCCTGGAGGTTGGAGACCCAAGTGGGCACACAGGGATACGTTGCTCTGGAGGCTCTCAGGAAAACCAGCTTCCCTGCCTGTCCAGCTTCTAGAAACCACCTCCAGTACTAGCTCGAAGCCCCTTCCTCTGCCTTCAAAACCAGCAGCATAGCATCCCCCCACCCTCTGACCTCCTGTGTCCCTCTTATAAGGACACGTGATCATTTGGCCCACGTGTCTCCCCATTTCAAAATCCTCCACTCAATCCCACCTGCCCAGTCCCTCTGCGATGGGAGGTGACAGTCACAGGTTCTGGGGATCAGGATGTGGACATCTTTGGGGAAGAGGAACATTATTCCACGGGCCACAGAGGATTATTTGTGCTCTGCGTTGTCCTGGTGACCACGTAAGGTCCTCCCTTGCCCACTTTGCTGACTTTCCCAGGTTTCTGGCTGGGTTTGGTATTTCGTCCCGCACATGTGCCTTCTTGGCAAGGAGAAGGCGGCCAGCAGAGAGGAAGGGAGTGGCTGAGCCCTCCCCCATTCATTCTCTGCGCCACTTCCCAAGCTGGGTCCTGGCCCTGCGCCTGTGTGGCCTGGCTAACCCAGAGCTGTTTTCTGTGGCTGGGTGACGGGCTGCCAAAGGAATAGGAGGAGGTTTTGGGCAGGCAGAAAGGAGGATGGCTCAGGCCTGGGGGAAGAGGTCAAGAACAGTGGAAAGGGTCAGATAAGGCCTGGTCAGGAAAAAAAAATGCACAGTGACCAGGGTCCTGTGAGGAAGGTACTCAGGGAAGAAGGAAGTGAGCAGGAGGGGAATTGAAAGTTAAAGGGCAAGGTCTGAATCGGGAGAAAACTGCCTGGAACAGGGGAATAGAAACAGGTGAGGGAGCTGGAAACTGGGAAGGAAAAGGGACTTGCAGACTCGACAGGATTTTGACATCACTCATCTATGAATGGACTGAATACATCCCCTGAGCCAAACGTTGGGAGGGCCCCACCATCAAGTAGCTGTGAGGGAAATGGGTCTTCACAGCCTGTGGGAGCAGCACCTGCAGGCTAAGGGAACAGGCCCAGCTGGGGAGGCGAAGGGGGCTCCAGGCACAGGGAACAGGGTGATCAAGGCCTGGGACTAGGGGTTTTGAAAAGAGCTGGGACACCTCTTCCAGGAAGCACAGAGACTCAAGATAGCCAGGGCGGTGGGAGAGCAGGCGGAAGGGCCTTGGACCCACCAAGCAGCATTGAGGAGCTATGGATGGCTTCATCTGTTGTTGGTTGAATAAGGTCTTCCATCTTTGGGCAAAGGTGAAATCTCACACTTAAAATGGTCTTAGCCTGATTAAAATTCCACATTTCTGGATATACTCTGAGCGTGATCTTGGACCCATAATACCCAATGTAACACAGAAGGGCAGACTTGATCTGCAATCACGGAGAAAGGATCTTACCAACTTGAGGCACGTTTCCTCCACCACCACCACCACCACCTCTCAATGAGCCCCTCCTGTGAAAGCACAGCCCTGCACGATTTAAACGTCACAAGTGCAAATGATTCAAGATATTCTTTCTTTCTATGTTATCTTTTTTTGTGTGTGTGTGTGTGTGTGTGCTTTTCCTTCCTCAAAAAACACAGACTTGCCAAAACCGGTTTGGCTCAGTGGATAGAGTGTCGGACTGCGGACTGAAAGGTCCCGGGTTCGATTCCGGTCAAGGGCATGTACCTGGGTTGCGGGCACATCCCCAGTAGGAGATGTGCTGGAGGCAGCTGGTCGATGTTTCTCTCTCATCGATGTTTCTAACTCTATCTCTCTCCCTTCCTCTCTGTAAAAAATCAATAAAATATATCTAAAAAAACACACACACAAAAAAAACACAGACTTCGAAGCCTGTGTTTTGCAAATTTGCATTCTCTGATGGTCCTACTGACTGAGCCAGACAGACCTTTTGTGAGGTACAGAACAATCCCAAACAAAGAACCCTGCGGGCATCCACGCAGGTGGAAGGCCTAGAATTACCTAAGTCTAGAATCCAATGCCATCTTCCGACATAAATCCATACAGAGTGTGCATTTTCTTTTTTGCAAGTTTAAATATGCCTCAATTTTATTATTATTATTATTATTATTAGGAATGCAATGACTGTGCCAATTAGCGAAAGACTCTATTTGGTTAGGAACTTTGCCAAGCGTTGGTGACCACTTAGCAAACTCCTGGTCTGTGAGGGTGCGGGTGGATCAGGTCTCCAGAACCACACACCAGTCAGCTGAGCTATTGCAGACAAGTCTCCCCTTAGGAGCCAGCAGCGACTCCTTGGTTATATTCTACTGCACGCCTGAGCATTTACACACTGAAACATGTGTCGTTTATTGTAAGTACTTTACCTTTTAGTTTTCCCTTAGGTCTAGTGAGAGCATTAGCATTATGTTGATTTTTTAAACTGGACATGAGGTGCTTGGTTTTTATCTATATTTTTCCTTAAAGCTGAGGAATACAGTGAAGAAATAAAATGGAGTCACTAGAGTTGAACAGCTAAATTCCTAAAAACAAGGAAGTTGAAACAATTCCATTCCTGTTTGAACTATCCTGGGGACTTATCGATTGAGGCAGTTAGACATGAGCAGAGCAAGGGCGATGGGCCGGGTACAGAAGGTCACCAGGGTGGAAAGCCACGGATGCCGAACAAAGGACAATTGTAAGATGGGACCTTGCCCCGGGTGACCTCACCTCATGGAGCATATCGCCATCATGTGTCATGAGGTTTGGACCCCCTGACCTTTCCTCCCTCGAGGTAACATCTAGGCCTCAGTTATATTTCAGCTCCAGGCCCAGAAAAGCAAAAGCAGACAAGCTATGCCACAGCTGACCTCAGGGCCAGCTGCACTGAATAATGACCTCTGCCCTGGGCCGACCTCAGGACCAGTTTCATTGAATAATGACCCTCTGCCCTGTCACCAAGTAATCAATCAGTGGAGACCCTGACCCTGAAAGGTCACACCTGGAAAACCCTGGGAACTCTCCTAAAATCTCCACCCTCAAAACCTTTAGGAGAGCACCCAGGAGCATGCCTGTGCCTTTCTCCTCCCCCTCTCCCTCCTCTTCCCCCGAGGTGTGTCACCTTTACCTTCCTCACTTCTAAGCTCCATGGGCCCTTCCTTTACCTCTACAACTTGTTTTCTACACTCAATTCTTCTACTGCTATGATTTTCCAAATAAATGTTCTCTGACAGTTTGAGTCTTGACTCTGAATTCTTTCCTAACCAGACCTCAAGAACCGAGAATTCTACTCTTGTTTGAACTATCCTGGGAACTTACCCGTTGAACTTTGGAGTCCTGCATCAATACCTGGATATACATCAGACCTCCAGGTAACCCTCTCATCACTCCTGAAGGACTAAGGAAGAACGTTCACAAATCCAGACCACCTGGACCCTGAAAGGTCACACCTGGAAAACCCTGGGAACTCTCCTAAAATCTCCACCCTCAAAACCTTTAGGAGAGCACCCAGGAGCATGCCTGTGCCTTTCTCCTCCCCCTCTCCCTCCTCTTCCCCCGAGGTGTGTCACCTTTACCTTCCTCACTTCTAAGCTCCATGGGCCCTTCCTTTACCTCTACAACTTGTTTTCTACACTCAATTCTTCTACTGCTATGATTTTCCAAATAAATGTTCTCTGACAGTTTGAGTCTTGACTCTGAA